CACGGCCCCGCTCCCAGCCCGGCCCTCCCCGGGGATTCACCCCGCCGCGGTGGCACCCAGGGGAGCGGGGACAGGTCCTGCCTGACGGGGCAGGGTGCTGGGCGGCTCCCGCCAGGGTGACACGCCGAGGCGGGGGGGTGTTCCCATCCCGAGTGGGTGCACGTCGAGGCCTCCCAGAGAGCGGAGAGCTTGCGCAGCCAAATCCTGGCAGCCTCGTCTCCTGGTACCTGTTTTCTCACCCTGGAAACAGTGGGGGGGGCTGCCCAGCCAAGCCTCCGGAGTTCCCCCCCCCCATCCCACGGCAGGGACGTTCCTGGCACACACGTCCCTCCTGGCTATATATAGCCACCGTCGCGCTAACGACGCGCTCTGGGTAACAGAGCTCCAAAAGAGCCCGGCGGGGAGGAGACGGAGCCCACCGGCCCTTCCAGCCCAGCGGCAGGGTGGGAGCTGCCTGGCGGGAGCCAGGGATGAGCCACGGGGCGGCTTCCCCACGGGAAGCAGCTGCGGGAGGCGTGGGCACGCGGTGGTGCAGGGAGGGAGGCTGACTTCACTCCCGGTGACCGAGTTCACAGCTCGACATGGAAAGATTCCCCACCAGGATGAGATCCCCACCCTTATTGCAACCAGATGCGGAGTTCTGGCATCCTCCGGGCTGGCAGCGCCTTGGCAGGGCTGCCCTGGGGCAGCGCCAGCTCCGGAGGGAGGGGGCTGTGCCCCCCGGCACCCGGATCACAGCACCCTGGAGCTGCGGGTGCAAACACCCTCATCTCTTTGATGCACAGAGAACCCGGCTCCACTATCTAAGGCTGCACTCCCTTCTGAGCAGCCAAAGATAACCCAGGAAAGTATCCCAAACACTGGATTAGTTTGCTGTAACACCCCTATGCTCCGCCGGGAAAGCCCAAACTGCAGGAGAACAACCACCCGGGGCATTGCCTTGGTCCGATGGGGCACCCCAGCCCCAAAACAGGTCGGCCACCCTTGGTTTCCTCCTGCCAGCACAGGTTTGGCAGGTTCTGCCAAGTGCCGTCACCAGCCCTGCCGAAAGGCCAAACCCAACCTGTTCCCAGCGGAGAGGAAAGCTCCCTCGAAATTCCAGTGCTGGCACTCTCTGCCAGGGGGGACATCAGCTGCCCAGCCCTACCTGTGGTTATCTCCTGCCGGCCCTGAGCAGGCTGCTGCCTGCAGCTTCCTGCTTCCCAAACACTTAGGAACTAAGATGGGAATGCTCACACACCTGCTGAATAGGTACCGCATCCCTCCTGGCATCCCCCCTCCCCAGTGCTGCCAAAGATGGCAGAGGGTATTCGGGCACCCGTGAGCACTGTCGCATCAACAGGTGGGAAAAGCATCCCACTCCCGTTCCAGGATCCAGCCAGGATACCCTGGTCCCAAAGGATTCAGGGATTCAGAGCCAAGGGGAGCACTGGAACGGAATGCTGGGGAATTCCAGGATGAGACCCGGGGACACATGGGGGAGCCCCGGGACGGGACTGGGTAAGCACCAGGCTGGGCGTGGGGGGAAGGACTGGGATGGGATTGTCCAGGGGGACACAGGGAGTCACTGGGATGGGACAGCGTCAGCATCGGGATGGGGTGGGACGGCGGGGGATACAGGAGTGCAGCAGAATGGGACCGGGAGAGCAGCAGGGTGGGATGGGGAAGCACCAGGACAGGGGGAGCACTGGGACGAGACCAGGAGGCAGGTCACCAGGGACCGGGAAGCAGCGGGATAGGACAGGGGCAGCACGGGGACCAGAGACAGGACGGGGCCGGGACAGAGGGTGACACCGGACTGGGACAGTGGGGGTGGCACCGTGCCGGAGCGGGGGGCACCGTGCCGGGGCAGGAGGGAACACCCTCTCTCAGTATCTGGGTATCCCGGGACCGGGACAGTGGCGGGACAGGGGACCCCCGTGCTTACCGGAGGCGAGGGCCAGGCAGAGCAGCAGGGTACCGGGGCCGCCGCCCGGGGCCGGGGCCGCCGCCACCGCCTCCATACGCGCCGCCGCCGCCTGCCCGGTGCCCGGTGCCCGGCGGCTGCGGCGGGGCGGGACGGGGGCGGCCGCTCCGGCACCGCCGCCCTCCTCCTCCTCCGCCTCCTCCTCTTCCAGCTGCGCGGCTCCCACCCCGCCGGAGCCATCCCTTGGCGGTCTGGCGGTGCCCCCCCCGGCACGTCCCCTCCCGTGTGTCCAACCCACGCGTGTCCCACCGACGCACGTCCCACCTCGCACCAGCCACGCCTGGCCCCGTCCTGCCGGGAGGCGTCAAGCAGATGCCTCACCCCAGGATCCCTGGGGATTTGGGCAGCGAGACGGACCCCTATCCTGCCATCCCGGGTTCCAAGAGGGACTCCGGGGCTCCCCTCCCCGGAGGGACGGGAGGGTGTGCACCCAGGCCCAGCCTCACGTCCTCAGAGCCATTTATCCCCGGCCAGCTTGTTATGAAAAGGGAGATTTATTCATAGCAAGCAGCTATAAAACAGCCTCCCAAAGGCCTTGGCAGGGGATGACGGCAGCTCCGAATCATCCTGCGAGGGGCTGTGCCTTGGCACGAGCCCTCTGCACGCTGGCCTTGGGGTGTTTTTTTTGCCTCAGGGTGTGTGGGAGGATGTTTTCTGGCCCCCTGAGTGAAGTCTCGAGGAACAGGGGTAAAGGTGTCCTCCCGGGATGCTGGCGGGTCCCCTCCTGGCATCTAGGGATGCTCGGTAGGGATGTGGAGCCTCGGGCTAGTGCTGTCCCGGCTCCAAGGAAAGCAAAAGAGCTTTGTCCAGCGAATAGGGGCTCGGGCAGGGAGGAGAGGCGGAGCTGCTCCCTGCTCCGGGGTCGTTACAGGCGCGAACGAAGGTGGAAATGAAAGACTGGAAAGAACGGGTGACCTCAAACCGCAAGCTGGCAGCTATTAATGCAAGTGCTGGCAGCCACCCAGCCATGCCATTTGGCTGCTGGCCAGGGGGTGAGTGAGCTCCCTCAGCCCTGCTCAGCCAAAAAAATCCTGCCGCAAGCTCCGGCACGCCGGTATCGCCCGCCCCTCGGCTCCTGGTCACCCTGGCTCCCTGCCAGCTGCTCCCCAAAAGCAGGCAGGGGGTGATGAACCACCGGAGAAACGTTGTAAAGCTCCTGTGGGGACTTGGGCAAGACTGGTGAAACTGGCAGCTGGCATCTGGATGTGGCACGGGGCCACCCAAGAGGAGCTGACTTCATCCCGGTGGGGCGGGCACAGGCAGGGAGCAGGCGGGAAAAAATCCTTGTGCCCACCAAAAGGAAACAGTCTCCCTTCAGCATCCTTCATATCTGGATAAAACTGGGCAGAAAAAGCATTTTAAAGTGATTTGAAAAGAACTGGAGGCCCGAGGCAGGTGTCACCAGAGGCAACAGTCTCCAATCTCCGGTAGCAATGGGAAATGACTGGCAGAAAGTATCCCTAAAAAAAGGTATCCCCAGAAAGGGACATCTCGCTGGCCATGTGTCCTCTGCTCTACTGAGGTGACCAGGCAGAAGTGACCAGCAGATGGCAGCTGGAGCCCAAGCCTGGTGACCATCAGGGATGTTCCAGGCCTCCCACAGCCCAGCCCTCGGTACCCCAACACCCAGCTCAGCTTTGGGGTTTTCCATCCAAGGCCACTGTGGGAAGTGGCAGCTGTGCCCTTTCCTCAAAAAACTCCTCCTGCCCATGGAAGCATGCAGCACCATCGACAAAAAAAAAAGGGATGGGAGAGAAGCAGCAGGGAGATTATCACGCTGTTCCCACGGCACCAAGCTCCAGCAGCAACAACAGCATTATTTTTCCTCCTCCCGAGCAGAGGAAAGGTTTCAAGGAGAGCTGAGATATCGCCCGACACCGTCCGCTTCAGGAACGCCAGCTGACTTGGATTTTGTGTCCTGCTGTTTTAGGCCCAGAGCCAGGATCCATCCTGAGAAAATGCCACACAATGCAATAGAATAGAGGGCTGCATAACCCTGGATAAAGATAGCTTGGCCACGGCCTGGGCTCCGTGACATCCTTTTCCATAGCAAGCATGAGAAAGCCCGGAGGTGATGAGTTCAGCCTGAAAACATTTCACCTGCAGCAAAGCACTTTCCAGAATGAAAGAGGTAAAAAAATGGCCCTCGTACCTCCTGCTGTGCCACAGGTGTCTCCTGGCTGGGTGCTTTGGGCACTGGGAGCTGCATTTTGGGAGCTGGTTTTGCTGTGGGAAGGCAGGACCCTGGCTGCCTGGCTCTGGCCTGATGCAGGTACCTGGGGTGTCCCCTGCCACGGGCACCACACTCCCTGGATGCAGCAGGCAAAGGGATCCTCAGGGAGATCCAGAATCATGGAATCAAAGAACACTTTGAGTTGAAAAGGACCTTAAAGCACATCCTGTTCCAACCCCCCCGCCATGGGCAGGGACACCTTCCCCTACCCCAGGTTGCTCCAAGCCCCATCCAACCTGGCCTTGGACACTTCGAGGGATGGGGCAGGCACAGTTTCTCTGGGTAACCTGTGCCAATGCACAATTCCAATGCACCATATTCAAGCAGGAGCTGGCATGGCCCTGAGGATAAAGAGGGACACGTGGCAGTGCCACAGGGCACCCTGATCCCCCACCTGGTGCCACTGGCTGGGACAAGAGCCCCCCATGCCTGCTCCTCAGAGCACGATGCCCACTGACAGTGTGAGGAGCTCAGCATCCAGTCATCCCAGGGCAGGGCGACTGGTCTCAGTGCCAGCACCCAGTATGGTGTTCCCGGCGCCTGGTACGCTACAGCCAGCTCCCGGTACCCACCGATGCTGCGGTCCCACACGAAGCGCCCAGCGCCCCATATCCTCCTCCCGGAGCCCTCCGCATCCTCCTCCTGGTGCCCGGCGTGCCCCTCCCGCTGTCCCGCACGCCCCAACGGTGCGGGTCCCGCATCCCCGCCGCGGTGCCCGGGGCCGGCAGGTGCCGCTGTGGGTCGGGCGCGGGCGGGGGGGCGGCGGCGGCGGCGGCGGGGGCCGGACCGGGGCGGTGGCGGTGGCGGGGCCGGGCGGTGCGTCCCTCCCGCCGCGGCTGCCAGCGCCGCCGGCACCATGGGCTGCTGCTGCCGCCTCCTCTTCCTCGCCCTCCTCCTCCTCCCGGCAGGTAAGCGCCCGCCGCCGCACCGGCGTGGGGACGGGGGGGGACACACACCGGGGAGCCCCCGGGGCGCCGGGATGGGGGCGACGGGGGAGAAGGCAGCCCCCGCTTTGTCGGGCTCCTTCCCGGCAGGATGTCCGGAGAAGGGCTCCGCAGAGCGACCCACCACCACTGGTCCCACTCACGCTCCCCAGGCGTCCCCCAGTGACACCGGTGGGAGCGGGCAAGGGGCGTTTCATCCCTCTTTTCCTCATCCCCTGCCCCACAGGAGGGTTCTCAGCCGGTTTCCCGGCTGCCCTGAAGGAGGACAACTTCATGGGACCACCACCATCTCCTCACTGGCACCCTCCCCACCCGGGCTGGTGCTCACCCCCAGCCCTGCATCCCCCTTCCCGGCATGGTCACTGCTTTGAAGGAGCTTTTATGTCTCTCCCTGGCCTTGAGCGGAGGCTCCCGCACCCCCAGCTCCTGGTGTTTTCCCCACCAGCTCCAGGCATCTCCCCCCAGCAGCACCAGCCTCCCCATTCCACAGAAACACCCAATTTGACACCTTTTCCCCCCACTGAGACGGTCAGAGGAGACAGTTCTGTCCCCGGCCGATGCGACAGCGAGTGCAGGTTACCCCGCCACCCACCCCGGCTGGGTTTTTAATAAACAACACGAGGAGCTGCCTGCTCAGAAACATGGAAAACACACTTGCATAACCGGGGACGCGCGCGAGGAGAAATCCATCGGGCAGAGCTGTCATTATCAGTCCCTGCCGGCAGAGCAGCGCGAGGGGACGAGGCAGCAGGGCCAGCGCTGCTCTCCCTGCTACGACAGCCCACAGCCCCTCAACCGCGTCCCCAAAGCAGCAGCTGGGCAGGTCCCGGCTGCAGGACCCCAAACCACCACCCCGAACCACATCAGCTTGTGGGAAACCTTCCCCTGACAAGTGATCCCAGTGGTGTGAGGGGAGGGAGAGCCGAATGAATCCTTCTCCCTGTAAAGGGGGAGTTTGCCAACAAGGTCCTGTTTCTGCGTTTTCCAAGCAAATGTATTTTGGAGGGATGGGGATGAACATTTTGCTGGGGGTGCTGCTCTCACAGGCTCCTGCCTGGCCCCAATTTGCCCCCAAAGCAGCCAGCCTCTGCTAGGAGCCAACCTTTGGAGTCGGGAGGCGGGTTTTTCCCAGCGCCTGGGCCAAACCCGAAGCTGTTCCCACGACCATCCCTCTCTAAAGCACCAACGCCAGCAAGGCTTGGCAGAAAAGCCGGGAAAGATTTCCCTGGACTGTGGTCCCATGGCCCTCGGGCTGCTCCCAAACGCCCCCAGAGCATCTTTCAGATGCTTTCTACGACTTTTTTTGTGCCCATAGAAATAATTCTTAAACGTATATATGTCTATCACTTGGGAGGAAACACAGAGGAGGATTTAAATGTGCTTTGAGCTCATTCTTCAGGACTTAGTGACAGCAAGGATGTCACCAGGCAGGAGTAAAAGAAGTCTGGGCTTTGCCTGGCCACGTAATGAAATAACAGCATCTCACACAAGGAAGTTTTGATCCTGTTATTACTCCTTACTCGGGATGTAAATTCAAACCTGCTTTGCTTTCCTGAGATGATGCCCAGCCCTGAGCCTGCTTTCCCCTTCAGCAATTCACCCTGTGCCCCGGCTGAGACATTTTAAAGCACCTGCAAGAGCTCTAAAGCTCTTGGCTTTAGAGGTTTTGAGTGCTTCTTCATGGAGACTTGGGGTGGAAAAGCTGCTTTTTGGGGACCTGGGAGCCTCAGGGATTGTTTTAGGCTGCCGTGGAGGAGGTAAAACTTTGAGCATTCCTGGCTCTGCCCCTCCTCGGAGTACAGGAGAAATGGGTAGTTAATTATCCCCTCTCCCAGCCCAAAGGAACAATCTGCCTCTAATACCAGAGGATGCTCCAAAATTCCTCTGCCGAACCCAGTTGCTTCTCCTCATGGGAAGGGCTGGAATGGGGCTGATGCACGTTGAAAGCTGCACCTAGAAGCAGTAATTAGCAGCTGGCCAGGAAAATTACGAAGTTGTTATGTTGTCACTTGGGCAGAGCTGCTGTTTGCAACATTCCTGGCTGGCTCCGAAGTCATATCCAAGATATTCACCTGGGAAAAAGTTCTGTGAGGTGTCCCAAGCAGGCAGGTCCATCTGCCATCCTCCCAACCACCTAAAGGCTCCTCTTCACCTTCTTTTCTGCTGTAATTCCATTGCAACTTCAGGATCAAGGGCTTCAGGAGTTGAATAATTAAGCAACACTTCGCTTTGGGGGGAAACACCACATTTTCTTTGCGTGGAGGGTGGGTTTGTTATGCCACCAACAGTCCTCACCCCTGGGTTGGGATCATGGGGCAGGTGGTGCCTGAGGAGAACTTGGCCACCCACCCCAGGCAAGGAAGGAGCTGCTCACAGGGACTGTTCAGCGTGCGGGCTGAACATGTGGATTTTAAAAGTTATTCTCAGCTGGGAGGAGCAGAGACTGCCAGATTCCCCAAATCCCCACCTTTTTTATTTAGCCACGTGGATTTTGCTCCTGCCTTTTGCAAAAGCCAGGCTGTGCACTGCCAAGAGATGCTGGTACATCCGGGGAAGTGGATACTGATGGAGCGGCTTGTCAGTAGGATGAACATCCCCGGGGTGCCCTGACCAGTTGCACGGCTGGGACAGAGCCTCAGGATGGTGAGGGACACACGGATACAGCACATGGATTTCTATTGTGGAGCTGTTTCTCTTAGCTACATGAAGCCTCAGAGCAATTAGACCTAAAGCACTTAACGACCATGCAGCAGAATAAAACTAATCACGCAGGAAGCCGGCTCAGCTCACCAGTAAATCAGAGCAACTGCAGATTTATTTGATCTGACGGCCTTGGCTTCTTTGCAGCGTCAGGGAATAGCTTTGCCTTTTACCTGTTGGTGTGTCTGGCCCCCTGGTTTTCTCCCTTTGGTCTCTTTCTCCTCTCAGAGCCGGTTTTATACCGTCACCAACAGAACCTGGCACTGAAAGCAGAGGTGGTGGAGCAGGAGGCAACGGAGCAGCACGTGGCCCAGGGGTGCTGCTGCCCACATTATGGGTCACCAGCACACACATGCAGTGCTTGGGCTTTGCTTCAGACCTCAGGAGTCTCCACATTGGCTCTGGTTTACTAATTGAGGCCCAACAGCAGCCAGAGATACCCCCAGGAGCTACTGTTTCCCATGACTAATCCAGCTGGGTGTTCCCTCTGCGATGGCATGGAAAGGTTTGGTGGGTGTGAGACAGAGTTTAGAGCCTGTAGAGCTGCTCCCAGGCCTCCCCATCATCCGTATTTTTGGCGGATAATGAGGCAGAGCTCCACAACAGCGCCCTAGAAAAAGAAAGACACAAATGAAGAGCCCAAAGAACCACCACATCCTCTGTGTTCCTTCCCCCATATCAGTACAGAGATCAGTCAGACCCCTGTGTACTGCAGATGGGGCCTCCAGCCAGGCAGGAGAGAAGTGAACGTCACCAAATCCCAAAATACGTGGTGACAGGGAAGGTGAGGCAGTGCAGGGCTGAACAGCTGGAAAAACTAGTTGAACCCAAAGCAGAACCGAGTTTTGTTTAGTCCCAGCCACCGTAAGGAGAGCTTTTGCCATCCACAGCCAGATGGTTCCGGTTTTACAGCTGAAAACCACAGTGAACGTTACAACTGAGCATGAACAGGGAGGAAGGGAACTGCAAAGAAAGCAGCACAAGGTACGGGAATCCCTGGCCACAGAAACCAAAGCCAAGGCAACGAGGTCGTGAACAGGAAATCCTTATATTTAAATATAGATTGTTTTATTGCTCTGCATCACTTAACCTGGTTATGAACCAACACACACGGCAGGACCAGAGGGGTCAGGGCTGTTCTGTCATCAGCACTTGGTGAGGACCAGCATAATACAGGACCTGCAAAAGGTTCTTTTTTCCTTACTCTGGGTAGGTTAAGGAGTGATGTTATTGTAGACTTTTACTTTAAAGAGTAGTCTGGTGCTTAGGTATTGTCTTGGTTATATGGGTTTTTTTTCGGTGTTTGCCCCAAAAACAGCTGCTGAGCTGATAAGCTGATACAGAAGGTGGTACCCAATCTTACTGCAGAGGCACACTATGAAACGGGTGCTCAGCAGATCTCCATGTTCCAGGGGCTTGTTTTCATCCTGTTGTTGTATTTCTTGTTCAGAACAGGTGGCTGGATTCCTTGTTTAAGCACAGTCAGGATACGCTGCTGGCAGGCGGAATGAATAATATTCATGTTATGGAAACTTTCATTATCCTCGTGGCCTTGGCTGCTGGAGGAGCACCCCTGACTGCAGCTGGGGCTTGGGTGCCTTGGTTAATTTGGGCTGAGAGCAGGGGTGTGGGTTAGATCGTGTGGATCTTACGGTGGTTATGTCAAGCACAATGAATTCTGGCTTGTTAAAAGCTCCATCTCTGCCTTATCAGTGGATGTTTGTTTGCTCCAGCGAGGCTGCTCCATCTGATGTCATTCACTCAGCCTGGAGATGTCCTCCAGTGGCTTTTTATGCTGCGTTTCAGCTGGCAGAGCAATTGAGGATTTGCTGCAATGGCTTTTGGAGTGCCTGGGAAATGCATTGCCGGAGAGGTTTCCAGCCCAGGTCAGGCAGCCCTTTCCCAAACAGAATGTGAGAGGTGCTCAGCTCCCTCAAGGGCAAGACCTGCCCCTCTGTGTGGCTTCCAGGAGCCAGGAGAGCAGCATGGCAATAGGAGAGGGAGACAGTCCATCACATGGATGGCTCATTCCTTAGGCTGGCAGGTCATTAGGGTTAATAGTCCCCAAAGCAGAATATTAGAATTATTTGGCTTTGGGTTGTTCTTTCCTTGGCTGTTTTCTGTATTGCTAGTGAAGAAAATCTGGGAAAAGGACTTTCCAAAGCTCCCGTGGGGCTCTGAAGTGTGGCCCTGCTGCTTTCCGAGGTGGTTACCTTGTCCTGGAAGGCCCCTGCCTCAGCTCTGTGCTGGATTCCAGCGGGGTGGTCAACTGCCTTAAGTGAATTAGATGGGCAAATTCCTCAGGGCTGAGCTATGCTCGGCATCCTTTGGGAGCTAACATCCCTCAGTCCCTCTGACAGCCCCTGCTTGAGTTTTTTTAGCCATTGGATTTGGTCTTAAAAGGAGTTTTGTAGCTGTTTGTTTTGTCCCTTATTCCAGGGCACTGCTCTGCTTCCTGCTCCCAGCAGCAGCTCCTACAGACCAGGTGTTGTGGAAACAAGGAAACACCCTCCTTGGCTTTTCTTTTTCCCTTTGATCTTCCCTTTCACACATGATGGTAGAGGACAGGACTTGCAGTTAAACTGGGTTCTCTCTGGCCCTGGGGACAGTCATCAGTCCATGGACAGGTTGCCCACGAGCTGGGTGGAGTGACATGTGGAGCATCCCAATGCTGTCCTCAGCCTTTTTGTCCTTTCATCCTGATTCCAATTCAGAAGCAACCTGCCTTGCCTCTAGGATCGTGGCTGGGATTTCCTGGGATCGTGTGCTCTAGGTGAGAGCTGGACCCCAGGGGGGTCCACTGGACTGGGTCCCAGATCACCCGATAGAGCTGATGGCTTGGAGAAAGAAGAGGATGGCCCAGGGATTGCTGGTAGGGAGAGTCAGGGAAAACCAGGCCTGAGCTGAGCAGTGTGCTGCCTTCAGTTGTGCGCTCTCTCCTGGGAAGTGTCGTTGTGACTTGTGACCTTCTTGGCCAGAAGCACTCAACCAGCAGCCAAGGATTGTTCCTGCATCCAGTTCTGGCTCGCCCTCTGAATTTATACCCCTCAGATATTATCGGAAACTTCCTGACTCATCCAGGCTTGCAGCACTGCCAGCTTTCCCAGCTCCCTATTGGTTTGCCTCCAAAGTTCAAGTAGATCATGGGAGCTCTGCTGACCCCAAGCAATTTGGGACCTCGGGGTGGCTTTGCCCAGAGGTGGAAATCTGTCCTGTGTCTCAGAGAGCCTGGGAGCATCTATATTTACAGAGGTGACAAACTTTCAAGGTGCTCCCAGCCCTGAGGGGATCTTGATGGTCATGCTGGGCTGCAGAGGCTGCCTGGTACCTGTTGGAGAAATCTGGAATGTCCAGGTGTGTCAGAACAAGGACTCTTGAAACACAGATGGATGCTGAACCTTGATCTGAAGGATGCTTGTTCCAGGCTTCCCTGCTGCTGTGGTGGTCTGGAAAGCCACAGTGCTGAGCCAGGTGGCTTATTCAGTAACCAGATTCCAGCCTGTCATCCATCTCCTCTCCCTTATCCTAAGGTTTATTAGCCCTGTGTCCTCAGCCTGAGGGGGGGAAAGCTCAGAGGCATCTCCAAGTGCCTATCCCTGAGAGAAAAGAGCAGCCATGTCCTCAGTCCCACCTCCAAGACCCTTTTCCTTGGGAAAGGGGGCCCTTCACTTAGGCATCCACAGCACCAATGAAGAAATTTTGATTGGATTAGTGAGTCCCTGCTGACCAGTGCCACATCCCATCATTTCTACACACAAGACACTGAATGGTTTTGTCCTCCACACTCATATAATTAGTTCATTGCAGCTGGAATGAGTTCTTGCTCTTCCCAGTGCTGGGTTTGGGATGCTCTGGGGGTGTAAATAAATGAATAGATGGAATAAAAATGCCTCCCAATGTCACGTAGTGCTGGCACACTCTTCCCTCACCCCAACCATGCTGAGGGAGCCAGCTGCCAGTGCTGGACCAGTGCTGAGTTCAGGCCTAGAAAGGGGGAGAAAAAAGCCCCAGCAGTCAGCTGGTGGGGACAGAGGAGAAAATGACTCATCTTCATGCTAAGAAATGGAGACAAATAAATGAATGCACAAGGAAATGGGGGGAGAGGAGAAAGAGGCGTCTTGTGTTATCATTCCCAGCTGCACGGTGGTTGCTGCGAGGAGGAGCTTCCTACCCTGCTGCTGGGAGGAGATGCTGGAAGGATGGAGGGGGTGATTGGGAATGGGGGGATTCCAACCTTGGGGAAAAAATGGGGGTTGATTTATGCCAGGGCAACTGTCTGGTTTAAACCTCACCTCTAGGTACACAACTTCATTTTCCATCTCTTTATTTTAGATGGTTCTCAGCGTTTTAAAAACAAACTTACTTCCAGCTTAATTCTCCAAACCTTCAGTGCTTCCCCACACCTCAGGTCACCCCAAGGCCTTCCCTGTTTTTAATATTTCTTTGTCTCACTCCTAGGACTGGGCGATGATTCCCCAGAATCACCCCGGCACCCCATCAGCCCCCCCTTCCTCTGGCAGGGGATCCCAGTGCCACCAGACTCCAGGGATGCTGATGTCCCCACACCAGTTCCTGGCCAGCCCTCCTTGCCCATGCCCACGGGACCTTCCGGAGATGGGGTGTCCTCCGGGCCAGTGGAAGGGGGTGGCCACAACGCCACCCCTGTGGCAGCACCGTCCCCCGCTCCCGTCTCCGCCACCGTGAGCTCCATCGCGATGACAGACGGTCCCTCCGCAGCCTCCAACCCCAGCTCGGTGCCACCCACCTTGGAGACAGCCCCAGCTCATCGGACAGCAAATCCTACCAGCTTAGCAAGCAGCACCGTGGATTTGGGGGCAGCTTCCAGCCCCACGGGCACGGCTGCGTCCTCATCCTCCGCCTCCCTTCCCACCGGCGACCCGGACTCAGTCTTGTCCCCAACGCCTGTCCTGGTGAGCCCTGGCACCACCCAGCCGCCGATGCTGACCGAGGATGTCCCTTCCCTGGGGACTCTGGCCATGGCATCGAGCCTGGCCGTGGAGCCAACGTCCCCCCCAGTGACTGTGGTGAGCCCCAGCGCGGCCGAGGCCACGGCCTCCGACAAAGCCACCGGAGTCACCATGGAGGAGGTGCCGCGTGCCTTGAGTGCAGGTGAGCACCACCCCTCCTCCGAGGCACGGTGCCAGCTTTGGGGTGCTCAGACAGGAGGGGTAGACCCCCCAAGTTGGAAGGGAAGGGGTGTTCAGCTTCCTGGGAGTATCACTCAGCAGCGTTCCTGGAGGGGCCCGTGTCATCTGCTCTGCTGGCAGAGGCCGGGAGTTGTAGGTGACAAATCTCGGTTGCCTGGAGACAGGAACAAAATCCTTAGTTTTGTGAATTTGCCTTGAAACACTTAAGGATGAGAGGAAACAAGTGGCTGGATGGTGGGTGCAGCCTGAGTGATGCAGCCTGATGCAGGTTTTTCTCCTCCCTCCTGTTCACCTCACTAAGTTGATACCGGCTTTTCCCTGTCCCCTTCTGTGAGCTCAGGTAGCTGAAAAGTGCTCCATAAGGTCAGAAAAGAGAGGGATGTGGAGTATTTTCCAGCCTTGGCTGCCTGGTGCTGGGAGGAGCTTCAAGGAGTGAGTCCATAGCCCCCAAGCAAAGCCCAGCTGTGTTTTATCCCCAGTCCCCCTGACTTTATGGGAAGGGGGCCATCGCAAAAATATAGGAGTGACCCGCATCCTCTTTGGGAAGCAGTGAGGAAATATTCCCCCTGTCAGAGATGGATGGCACGGGTGTATTGGGAGCAGCTGGGGCGTGGGGTGAGCACCATAGAGCTGGGATTTGGGGAGGCTGAACCTTGCCCTTTCTGATGGATCACCCACAGGGAGCATCGTGGCCATAACCGTGACTGTCATCGTGGTGGTGGTGCTGGTTTTCGGGGCAGCAGCGTACCTCAAGATCAGGTAAGGCTATTTTTGGGGTGCCCCTCCCACCCCCCCGAGGCTTCAGCCCCTCTCACCATCACAAGGGTGATGCTCAAGGGCAAAGCCCTGAGGAGATGCGCGGTGGGATGATGTGTAGCCTCTTGTCCCAGCACGGCTGCGTTTCCTACCCCTTCTATACTGGAAAGCAGAGTTTTAATTCCTCATTTTACAAGAGCCTCACTCAAATGCCAGAGACACTGCTCAGCATAGCCATAACCAGTAATTATCCCTTGGGAAAGCTGCTGCCGTGGGTCTCGCTGTGACTGGGACAATAAACAGCAGCACAGCCCAGCACTGAGCATCCCTAATGAGGCTCTGCTGACAGCTGAGATGAGCAAAGGTCTTGTTTTAATTCCCTGCCCTGTCTAGTCTGGTTCAACAGGGGCAAAATCCAGCCCGGACTTACCTTCTGTGCTGGTGCTTCCTCTTAAAATATCCCAAAGCCCAACCCAGGAAGCCCTTGCATGAATATTTCTTCACCTTGTGGTAAAATAGCTAACAAATCCCCAAATCAATAGGTTTGCTTTCCCTGGCAGGCATTCCTCCTACGGAAGGCTTTTGGATGACCACGACTACGGCTCCTGGGGCAACTACAACAATCCTCTCTACGATGATTCCTAGCAGGGATGAAGAAAAAAAACCAACCCCAAAAACCTTTAATTTATAAGCGCTTCTGCAGCAGAGCATCCGCTGTCGAGGAGATGCTGCCAGGGGCAGGAGCCCCTGCCAGGGGCAGGATCACGGCGGGTCTGGTGGATCACAGGAAGCGGAGGGCGGGTGTGCAGTGTGCCAACAATAAACCTGAATTTTGGCCTTTAGTCCTGGGGCACGTCAAACCACTTGTCGTAGGCAAGGGAACCCAAATTCCCCAGGGGAAGGGATGGGGAGGTCGAAGGAGAGGATGGAAGGAGAGGATGCCAGTGCCGTGGCACCCTTTGAAATGCTGCTGCTCTGTGATTTTGGGGGGGAATGGGGGGTTGCTGAGACACAGCCAGCAGTGTGCAGGGGTCTCCTGTGCTTTCACTTGTCCCTTTCCGTAAAATCACTTCCCTGTGTTGCCCTACTGTGAAATCCTTTACCTTGCCTCCCCAGGGCCATGAACAGTTACGGGGATGCTCAGTCACTGCTCCCTCTCTTTTCCTGTAGGTGCTTCTGTGCAGAAGCTCCTAATTTCCTTTTTTTCCCACATAATGGTGGGGGTTTTGTCCCAAACACAGCCTGGGAGCCCATAGGAAGGTGCACTGACCACCCATTTCACACATGTGGCTGCTTGCTCCACAGCTTTGTTTTTAATCCTTAAAAATCTTGGCTGCTAAAATACAGCGGAGTGTCCTTTTAATCTCCAATTTGTGTTCAGCTTTTAGTGTGTGAAGACTGTGGGTGGCTGATGGCAGGGCTGGTTTGGGAAGAGGATGCTCAGCCACTTCTCCCTCTGGCTAAATTCCCTGGCAGCGGAAAGCAAAGCCCTCAGACTGCGTGACCTTAATAAATAAACCAGCGCTAAATGACGCTGCAAACTTTTGGGGTGTCCCAGCACGAGCTGGGAAACAGGCTCTGCTGTTTGCCCTGACTCCTAAATGGAGCATCCCAGGAAACATCAAAGCTTGGGGCGTTCCCATGATTGCTTCCTGCAGCAGATGCATCATCTCCTGATTTCCATCAAGTGAGTGTAATAAATGCGTCCGGCACCACAACAGCCACCTGGAAAGGTCGGGAGAAACGGGGGCAGCTTCTCCAAGCTCTGCTTCCCAAAGGGAAGTGCAATTATCCTGCATTTTCCTTTTCCTCCTGAGCCTTTTTCAGCCTGTTCAGTGGCCCGTCCTTTCACCTCTGCTGTGAATACTGAGTGTTCCTCAGCCTCTTTTAGTTCAAACTCGGTAGAAGCAGGAAATGGTTGTTGCACCTCCCAACCACAGCCAGCCTGGAAAACTCTTGGGGCTGGGAGCATACACAGGGCAGTGCAGGCTCCGAGGATGCTCAGGATGAGCAAAACTCCCTTTCACCTTTTGGGCACCCAAGAAACAGCAAATTATGCCACTTTAGTTAAGATAAAACACAAACTGAGTAAAAAAATCAACACCCTTCTTCTCTTGAAGCAAATTGGGTGTCGTGACGCTGTGCTTGCCCTCCCCAAAACCCCACAGAAAAGGTTCTCCCTCACTCCTTGTGATCTGTGGCTCATTATTGCCCAGCAACAGCAAAGAGCTGGCACTGGAAAAAAAAAAAGCCCTCCCCAAACTATTAAAAAAATCACTCACTTTTCTCAAATGCTGCTGCTAAAATACATGAGGGAATAAAGGGAGAAGAAAAGCTGTCACCTTTACTTAAAAATATATAACCCCCAAGGGATTAAATTCCCTTTTCATGAAAGAGAACAGAAATGGGGTGTCAGCTTTCCTGATGAACCCTGTGTCTGGGTGGTCAAAAAGAATGACTCTCTCTTGCCTGCAGTGCAAGGAGGTTGTACATATTTTTGGGGATATCCTACGGTGAAAATAGATTCCTTGGCTTCCCACAAGTGCCTGGGACCAGAAACCATCCCCAGTGCCCTTATTCACAATGCAGCTGCCCCGTGACATGGATAATGTGGACATGGATAACGTGTTTACATCTACAGGACTGTTTGCCAGCATGGGCCAAGGCACGGGACAGCCTAAAGAGTAACAGATGTATTTGCCAAGTGGAAAAAACACTTTATTTTGGGGGATGATGCCCTCAGAGGGAGGATGCCCGTGTTCCAGGCAAAGGCTGCAAACACCCCTCTCACATTCCCACCTCAGACCCTCTGGCTTACCCAGGGGTCCCTGTCCCACACTATTACAGCAGGGAAGAAGGGGAAAAGACAACCAGGACATGCCATAAAAAAGGCCTTTTTCCCTTCTCTCTTCAAAAACAATGATGCTAACCCTGCCACAGGCTTGTTTTATTTACAGGAATAGCAAACCCCCACTTTTCCCAAAGGCTACCCCAACTTTGGCTCGATGCCACTTCCTCTCATCTCCCCCCCCACACACACCTCCCCCCATCTTTGGCTCCATTTCACCTCAGAGATATTTTATTTATATAGGAAAAAAATAGTTCACATAGCTCCGTGCAGAACATCCCATTCCCCGACCTCGCGGGAGTCTGGCAGCGGCGCTGCGGATGACGTGATCCCTCCCCAGGTCTCCTGCCTTGCCCTCGCCAGAGAGCTGCAGGCAGCTTTATCACTGCTTCCAGACTCCCTCTGGCCTCCCTAATTATGCCCTTGTTTTGCTCATTTGTGAGTATTCCCATATATCATCCACATGCTTCCAAGCGTCATCTCCTCAGACTCTCGGCGGAATTACTGGAGTCAGGAGCAAGGACTCGTTAGCTCCTGGTTGCAGCTCCCAGGAGCAATAAGGCTCGTTAGATAAAGGAATAGGTTCAGGTTTCAGAGATCCAGCTCCAACTGGGACCATCAAGGAGCAAAAAAAAGGAAACTGCCCTGTTTTCAGCGTGGAGGTCCCGGCACAGCCCTGGGCTGAGCTTGGAGCTGCAGAGACAGATGCTCCCCTGCCCCTCGGAGATATAAATAGCACCACATGACCAGCCTTTCCCTAATTGCGTTCCTTCCACTTGGAAATTTAAAAACAGATGGCTCCTCCTCAGCCAGGCAGGGACAAGACATCGGCCTCGGCACTGGGAAAGCCATGGGAGGGGATGGCTGTCAGGGAGGGAATGGCTGCCCTGGAGGTTTAATATGAAACCCCCCCACTTCCACCCCAAATGATGTCACTGGAGCAACACAAACCCACACCAGAGTCACGAAACCAGTCCAAAATCGGGGATCTGCTTTCCCCATGGCTCCTGAGCCATGACCCAGCACATTCCCATGGGATGGAGGGCTTGTCTGAGCCCCCTGGTCCTGCATTGCTCTGCTCACTGTGTCCATGAGTCCCTCTCCCAAGTTTCACATACTCCAGCAGGCCCTGGCTTTATTAATAGCTCCGTGACCTTGTGTGTGCCTGCGGCCCTTGCGCCTGCTGGAACACCACATTTTTCCCACAAAAGGCAGCAACAGTCCCATCTGCTCCAGATTCTGCCCTCGCTTGGTGAGGCAGGCGGGACTCTGGGTGGCAGGCAGCGTGGGAGCTTCCCCACAGCTCCCACAGCCAAGCTGCCTTCATCCCGGGATCATCACCCTGCCCTGATCCGAGCATCCTTCCCGCTCCCGTCGGCTGCATCTCCACGGGACAGGGCAGCAAAGCTCCGTGCTTTGCTCCTTCCATCCCACAAAGCAGTTCCTCCCTCGTCTTTATCTGCTCCATTTATCTTTGCCCCCTCAAGATGCCATTCCTTTTTTTGCTGTGCCATTTATTCCCTGGCAAAGGGAGTCAAGGGCTCAGTGCCAAGATAAACGTGTGGAACAGGGGTTCAGCTGGTGGCATCGGGTTCCCTCCCACACTTTCCAGAGGCAAACACCAAAAGCAGGAGAGCAAAAGACCAAAATCACCCGGATCCCACCCCCAAGAATCATTTTCCTTCCCAATACCAAAGTCCAGCTGGGGAGGGAGCTGCTCTTCCAAAGCTCAGCTTGACCATACCTTTCCTTTCAGCCTCCTCTTGTGGTTGGAACCCAAACAGGAATGTTTCCAGCTGGGATAAAATCAGTCTCCAGTTTAGCATCAAACCTGCTTGGTTGTGGACTTGACCAGCCCAGTTTTACCACTAGCAAAACAAAGGCTACTTGGTTACTGAGTTTTCTGGGATGACAACTCCTGCAGGCTGATAGGAGCCCCAGTGGGCTTACCTGGGAGCAGGTCTCCATCCCAGAAGGTGCTGGAGTCACCAAGTGCCAGCAGGAGTCTTGCTTCTACCACAAAAATACGAAAACACAGGAGCTGCTAAACCCACTTGTTTTTCCTAACAGCGTCCCAGGCCTCACACATCCCCACATCCAACCATTTTCCAGCACTGAATCATGGTTTAAACTCAGCCTGGGAATTTCCAGGCAGTGCAGGTGTGAAAGGAGAGCACATCACACACAGTGTAATTTGTTTATTTTAATAGAGATGTTATTTTACATTTATTTATAGCAGTGAGAAAAGTGCTCCAGAAAAAGATACTTCAGTCAAGGCAAGCTACAACAGCTATCATCCAAATCCTAAATATTCCATACAGAAAGGGGCACTGTTGGATTAAGAAAAGCTCTTGTTTTACAGCAGAACAAATACAAAAGGAGTAGTTGCAACATGAAGAGTAACTGAGCTTTTTGAATATCTTATTACTGTAAACTATTTGCATGTGAAATTCACAGAAATCAAGAACTTCCTGTGACATTTAAGACTGCAAAACACCTCGGGCAGGATATCATATGGAGAAGGGCAGGTTTGGGGGTTTTATTTTTTTTTTTTTAAGGCAGTCAGCCACCCTCCATTCTCTCCCCATAATGAAATTTACTGTGGAAAAAAACCCCAAAAATTGTTCCCTGCACTACTCAAGTGCCTCTGAACTCATGTTACTTCAGTGAACATCTCAGGCTCAGTCCAATGTTTAGGATGTGCTTCACTTCAGGTACTGAAAATCAAAGTATCGAGTTATGTACATGTCTAAAACCCTACTACGCCTTGGCCCTTCTCAGTGAATGAAGCAAAATGAGGAAGAAATGGGGGTAAA